TTTATCATCAAAACTTGTATACGCTATAATTTTCAGCCATAATATTACTATCTTGTAACGCATGTTATGACATATATTCAAGGATCCGCTGCGATCTACAACTGCCCACATGGATCCACCTCCCCAACCCTGAGTCGACCAACAACGGTACACGCAGCATCTAGATCCACAACCTCGACGTATGAAACTGTTTTTAAATATGCTAGTTCAGAAATTACATCATGTCTGGTTTTGCGATTACAGCGCATTTTGATATCAACGTTGACTTTGGAAGGAGGCCAAGCCTCATTTCTCTTCGGCTCTTCACGCTCATGTCCCTGAAACCCCCCAAAAAGATAGTGCAAGTTGTCGAAGGAATGCGATGTTGAGTTTTTCGAAACAGGAAGTAGCAAACATGTCGGGGTGGAAATCGATGACAAGGGGAAATGGGGTGTAGGAAATGAATCTAAGGGCGTCACAGAACGTCAGAATGGCGACTCAGGTGGGAGACGAAAGCCAGAAACAACAACGTGAACGCACCTAAAATCGACCAATTAACCAAAACTCGCGCATCCAACCCTCAAGATCCATTCACATCAATGCAAAGGGACTGCACGAAGAAGCCCCATCGTCACAGACTCCACTCCTCATCGATCGAGCCCGAAGCGCCCAGAAGGTCTTCCAAAAGATATAGCAACTCGCCGCAAAATCACTCATGAGGCCACGAGCCAAAAGGGCGCCTCGGGTTGGACTTAGGGGAATACAAAAATGCTAGCGGGCATCTACGAGTTGTGGCGTTCCAGAGAAGCTGTCGTCCATAGGAATGATGGAGGCCTTAGTTTGGGCCTATTAATAGATGTAAATGCTGGAAGCAGAGTAGCAGAGGCCCAATAGTAATGGGATGTTGCAACTGAGGGAGTTGGGACTTCGACGCGTTGTGTCGGTGTGTTTGGTGTTGTTTATGTTGGCCCTCGGGTTACTTCAATCCCAATCTCACTCTCCGTGAACACAACTCACTTACCATGCCTCAATCTAGCCAGAAGCGAGCAATTGATCGGGGGCAGGGGAGCCTAGAAGCGGCACATGAAGGTGTGCCCTTTCTCTTGGAACAATGCACTTATGTGTGGTTCACATTCGTGCCATGACTGTGCCATCTTCATAATATGGGTAGAGCTCCTGGCAGAAGTTAACACGTGTAAGGAGTTACTTAAACTGTTTTTTTGTCTTCAAAAACCGACTAGAGTCAAAGAAACGCGTCCAGGGCCGATTCCAATGCCATGCGGCTCTGAGATTGACCATAATGTGCGTAAGCCCTCTCATATTATCAAATCTGATGACCTTCAGGTCAGATACCATCAGGTTCCCCCAACTTGTCGCTTCGATCTCAAAACCTGTCACTGGTACTAGGGCATTGGCAAGAAATCGCAAGGTGGCCAACCATTACTGGGTACATTCTTACCACGTACTGTTGTTATGAGTAGACTGTGGTGATCAGCGGCTGCACTCGCGAGATAACAAGGGACTAAAGTAAGTACCAAAGTTGACTATTATTGCATTTAACTATGGCGCTTTTTATATCTAGGCCATGCTACAAGGTGATTGGTGCACGGACCAATCGGGAAGGCAGTGTCGCATGTTTGGGATGTTGCACGCTAGCGCTGTGCATGGGACATGTTGCCTGAACGGTGACAAGACTCATAATCCAACATGTACAGGTGAGTGCTTAACATCTCACCATGCGCTTCTCACTAGTAACGGTGCTAGGCAAACCGCAGTATAATATGTCGCCCTGAACCTCACCCCTATGCTTTTCTCCAACAACGCTCACGGCACTCTTGACCCCCCGTTGTTCGCCTCAACTTTTTCGCTGTTCAAGTTCCTGATACTGCAACAACTTTATGACCCCTCACTTTTGATTGTCATTTCATTATGTTTTTGCGGCGCTCCAGTCATATTGTCCCATATCATCGTGTCGACTAGTCAATATATAATCCTTCATCCAGTCAGACATAAGCTGTCATTAGACAAGATTTGACCCGCTTTTGAGCATGATTTCCTAGGATATTATTACGGATAATTACATGATAAAAGGATTATTCCCTGTTATTCAGCAGGACTTTTTGACAGGATTCTGGTCACAATCATGTACGGCAGCAGGATTTTTCCAACATGGAAAATTTAGACAAAATCCTGCATCTCAGTGGGATTTTAATCCTACTTCACGGAGGATTTTCTCATGGAATTTTTTTTCTCAGTGAACCTGACTCATCAGTAATATTCAGTCAGCTAACCTATAACCCTGTTAGCTCCACTCTGCTTGGTCCTGTCAGGGACTCGTCCGGGGTCGAGGGGGTCCGGGTATAGCGTCCGGGACCGAGAGCCTGGCGGGGGGCGGATCGGGCGTGCGTACTGACAGGCCCGATGTGGGACAGCGGTCCCTGGCCACTTAGACTGAAGTGGAAAGTTGTTATTATTATTAAAGGAGAAATATTGTACTACTTACCTGAAGTGGAAAGTTGAGAAGAAGGCTACTTCTTCGGTTCCCACTTCAGGTTCGTTTATATACATGCGGCTTGGATCACGTGACAGGTGCCACGTCACCTTCGCACACAGCCGTAACCACCCGGGTGTCTCCATGGGAGATCCCGAGGGTATCCGGTGCAGGCGTGCGTGCTGGGCACAGCGGGAAGTCGCCCGAGGTGCCCGGGCCGGGTACATGGTGGGCGCACTGCAGATGGGTCAGTTGTACATTGATACAGAGAAAGTCGTCCGTGTAGAATAAAGAGAGAATAAAGGAGAAGTAAGATAAGGAGAAACTGAGGAGGGGAGGATGAGGGGGAAGAAGGGAAAGGGGGAGGAGGTAAGGAGGGGTGGACCGGCGGGGTACCGGGTCAGGTTGGGCCAGGTGGAGCCGGGTCAGGCGGGTGTGCCCTGACAGGTCCCACCATTCATGGGCCTGCCCTCTATGTAACTATATATACATAACTTGTAGATAGGTTGCACCCTGGTGATAAAATCAACTAGAGTTCTCCCTCTTCTAGAATCCCTTGCCAGTGTCAGGGCATGCCCCAACATGCCCTGCCTGACCCCTGCTCCACTTCCCTGCTCCACACCGCTTCCTCTTCCTTTCCCCTGTCAGAGACGGGGTTGAGACGAAGGAGTGTCTCTGTGGCAGAGGGCTTCGGCCTCAGCGACTTATGCCAGGAGCGCTGTGCCAAGTAACATGTCCATGCCCTAACTTACTAAACTGGCAACCAGAACTGAAAGGGGGTAAACTCTAGTCGATTTTATTACTGAAGTGTAACCTATGTACAAGTTGAGTATATATAGTTACAGCGAGGGCAGGTCTGCAAATGGCGGAGCCGAGCCAAGCGGAGCTAACGGGGTTAAACATTAGCCAACTGAATATTACCGACAAGTCGGGTTATGGGGTTAACGGAAAGGCAGGCGATAACCCAGAAATGGAAAGGAGGGATAGGCCCAAAGGTGGGCTCTGCAGGGCAAGCAAGTGTATTGCCCAGTGGAGGCAGGAGTGTGCTAGCGGACGTTGGAGCTGTCCGGAAGCCTTCAGGGCTCCGTACTTAGGGAGGTGTAGGTAATAAATTGAAAGGAGGGGGTGGTGACCATCGAGGGGTACCGAGGGGATTGCAGAATATGGGAGCTCCGAGGTTAGTGAAGAAGGAGTGGAGGTAGACCAGAGGGATCAGAGGGATCGGAGGGATTGGAGGGATCAGAAGTCAATGGCCGGGGATGGATATGACATCCCCCTTCTTTCTTCTTTCTTTCTTTCTCTCTCTTACATGGACCACCTTTCCTGCTGTTCAAATCACTGGCACGCATGCCCATTCCCCTCCTGTATCTTACTATCCCTATATCACTGTCACCGCTGCTGCACTCACCTTGCGCCTACAGCAGACCCTCTTGGGATCTCCCATGGAAACACCTGGAGAGCCACAGCTGTGTGCGAGGGTGACGTGGTGCACCCCACGTGATTGATCCCGCATGTATATAATAACAGCTGGAGTGGGAACCGAAGAAGTAGCCTTCTTCTCACATTCCCACTTCAGACTAAGTGGTTGGGGATGCTCACCCTGCGATGGGACTGCCACTACGCATAGCTGCTATTCGTCCCACCAAGGGACAGCTCCAAAAGCGGTGAAGTCCCAGCGCAAGGGACCCAATGGGACAGGTGTCAGCTGTGCATAGCAGCGATCCCATCATGGGGTGAGCATCCCCAACCACTTAGTCTGAAGTGGGAAGTTGAGAAGAAGGCTGCTTCTTCTGTTCCCACCCCAGGTGCTATTATATACATGCAGTTAGGGTCACATGGGGGGAGCCACATCATCTCCACACACACAGCTGGACCTCTCTGGGTGTCTCCATGGGAGATCCCGGAGGTGTGCTGCTCTGTAGGTGGGAATGTGCATGGTGTTGGAAGTTACAGCCCGACGCCACTAGCAGTCCTAGGACCGTACATTCACGCTTTGAGAGCTTTGGGAAGGAGGTGCTTTTGGGGCAATCGACGGTGAACATAATGTTGCTTTGGCCCTTTGTTTTCACGCTTTGGCTACCGCTCGCGTTTCACTTCAGTGGTGTAGAACCGACATTAAATGTATATAAGGATAGGACTTGCACTGAGAGCCGATACATCACAATAGACGTATCGCGCTTCTCAGTTTAACACATGGTGGGTGCGGCGATCAGGGGAGCAGCATTAAGTGTGTAATGATACATAGAGAAAAGGGAAGTCGACTGTGGAATAGAAATAGAGAGAAAGAAGAAAAGGGAGAGGAGGAATGAGGAGTGATAGTGGGGGGAGTGGAGTAGGGCAGCACAGCACAGGGTCAGGTGGGGTGTGCCCTGACAGTCCCACATGCTGGGACCTTGCCGCTTTCGGAGCTGTCCCTGACAGCCAGTCAGTAAGTTAGGGCATGGATGTGTAACTAGGCACAGTGCTCCTGGGATAAGTCACTGAGGCCAAAGCCCTCCATTTCAGGGACATCATCCTTTACCCAGACAAAGCAAGGCCAAATGGCAGATGGAGATCAAACAGCTATCCCCTAAAATGCCCCATTGATTTCGCCATTACAGATAGCATAAGCATAAGTGCACGAACACGCATGAAAAATCATTCCTGTCAACTCCCATATACATCCGTACAATACTACATAGAGCCCAAGAGGAGAACACGGAATGTTCATATATGGAGCGAAAGCATTAACACCAACCTTGCCACTGTTGAAACAGCCTATCTATCGTGGCCTTCGCCTCACCTCTTTCCCCAGCTCCTAGCCCCCGTTGTGTATTGATCTCCCGATTCATCTGTATTGCCCTGAACATCGTTTCCTTGAAAGCCCAGGCTCGAGTCTTACAGAAATCTGTGAACTCCGTCAGGTCTCCACGTTGACAAGCATTCGCCCATTGCGTCCTCATGCGGTCCGACCATAATGTGCACCGTTGGTACTGAGAAGAATTTCGTGGGTCACAACGCCGCACGTGTTGGGCCAACGAACTGTTACGGATGACGTCGAAATAACACTCCTCGCAGGCAATGAAGCTGTCCCCGTCCCCATACCATCTCATGGGCTCGGGATCCGCTTCGACATGACCAAGTGGGCAAAGGCGTAAGTCCTTCCTCTCCCGGACATACCGAAGGAAAATATCAATATCACCGACCGCACCGGCTTCATAAAGCTTTCGGATAAGCGTAGGGAAGTAAGGAGAGTAAGGATACAGATCACAGATTCTCCGCTGCGATGTTGCTCCATCGTCCGGGTTCACAGTGTCACGATAGAAATGAGACCCGAATCCGAGGGCATAAAAGAATGTGTAGTAACAACCTGAGCAGATGTTACAGAGGTTTGGGGATGAAGTGATCCGATACCATTTCTTTCCAATTTCTTCCTGCCGGGTACAGGGTTCGCAATGGAGAATGACGAGGGCCACCTCACGCCATGTACTCACAGGAAGACCCAAGAGTCTGGCAATTTCCCAAGAGCATAGGAGGCGGCTATCACTCATCGCACATGCCAGGAGGGGCTCCTGAATAGAGGGCGAGATGAGTGGCTCTGACTGCGATACGGGTTCCCACTCGGTGAGATAATCGGAAGGAGCGATAAACCTCTTATGGCAAGGGTCACAAACGGCAAGAGACTTGATATCCAAGTTGTCCCGGAGTCTCCACCACAACTCGGTGTGGTTCCTGCTTTTCCGATAGCATTTCTTTCTGAATCCACTGCACAACTTCGTCACAACCGCACTCCACACAAGATCCTGATTGTTGGAAACAAATGGATTTAATACAAGCCGGCCCCACCCGTTACCCACATCGCAGGTCCACACCTGGTCTGGCAACTGAGTGCGCCAATGCTTTCGGAAATGGGTATAATGAGGAGTTGCCATCACGACATCCTCGTAGCACGCACGGCAAACGATGAAACCGGACAAGGAATCGTTAGGATTGTTGGGATCCACTTTGAGAGTGAACCATTCCATGCGTGGTTCAGGGCCTGGAACGTACCCTCTGCTCCCTAAACAGTCAGGCATTGAGGCCCTAATTTCGAGATATGCAACAAGTGGGGACAAATCTCCAGTCTTGAGGGCCCCATTGAAGAGAATTCGTACGCGTGGCGCCCAATAACCACATCTCATCGGACGTGGTGGGAAGGCGGGAACTTCTCTAAATGCCTGGCCGAACCGAGTTGCCGCGATGTGCTCTTCGTAACAAAACGAGCAGAAGAATACTCCTGGCGCTGCGGAGAGTTCATACCAAGTGGCGGAAGGCCAGGTTGCAATGATGTTTTTCGGACAGACACGAGCGCGACGCGTTGAAACTTGCCTGACGATAGCCAAACCTAATTGCACAACTATGAGTTGACTGACGGAAAAACGAGGGACTTGAACTCCCCTTGACCAGCCTGACGTTGGGAAAGATCATACGCAGAACGTTTCGCTGGATCTGAAAATCATTCCTTTGTCTGAGTATCTTGGCACAGTGGATAGCATGCCCAACGGCGCTAACCCGTTAACGATTGGTATGCTTCACCGATCTGCCCAGCAAGAAAGCTCAGGACCCATTGGACCCAGTTTAATGATATCTGTATCTGCGACTTACCAGTTTGAATCTCTCTGCAGCAGCCGTGTTCCCCCTGTTTTTGTCCGGGTGCCATTTATTCGCCAAAATCTGGTATTCTGCACCCAAATGACAGAGTCCCTCACCTTGGACAACTGATATCTAGGCCTATAGAGGGGGGTTCTCAGGACGTTTGATGAGGGCCTAGAGGCTCTTATTGTATGGGAACATCCTAGGACGTCCTGACACGTCCTAACAATTCAGTTTCAATTCAAACCTAGCATCAACGTCCTGGGACGTCCTAGGACGTCCTTGCAATTCAAACAAAAGTCGCACATCCGTTATTATCACCGACCACGCACAGATGGTAGTAAGCCTTTCATTGGACAAAAAATACACGTGTAAATACAAGAAATATTGGTTGCAAGAAATCTTACCAAGAACATTACTATGCTGACAACAGTATTAGTCGCAAGAAATTAAGGGAAATTGTATCAAGAAAATACAAGACAACAGTCGCAAGAAATTGCCAAAAAAATTAAGAGAAATTGTATCAAGAAAGCACAGGAACGGGTGATCTGCACGGAATTATATGATTCAAGATGGAGTGGCTAAACAGTCAAGTGTGTAGTTCCAAGACCGAAGTATGCAATCACGACAAAGTTCATATGGTCTCACTCCCAGAGGTCAGGTACGTCCTGAAACGGAATAAAGGACCAGCCTGGATCTACAGTAGAAAAGGCAAGGTTCGGATCATCTGGATCGCCTGGGCCAGTCGGCAGAAAGGGAGCAGGAGTTTCAGATAGGTTCCCAAGAGTTGCGCCACTGAAGCTCAGCTGCACATTTGGTTGGCTGTGCAACCCAACGGGGAAATATGATTGTTGATTCTGGAGCATTGCAGGCATGCTTGCCTGATGGAAAGAAGTCTGAGCATCTTGAGAGCCTGGTAGCATCGATGTGCCCTGGACATTTCTATTAGCTTCCACATGGCCTCCAAGAAAAGGTGATGAAGATGTGGCGGAAGACGACGGGGCAACAATAGGATAGGAAGATGAAGACGACCCAAGGAAAGATGTATGGGGAAGGCAATTGTCTGAGTCGTCATCCGGGCCAATGATCGGCTGAGACTTAGGTTGGCGTCGATAGGCCAAACGTTTCTTGGCTGCTCGTTCATTGGGAGCGGGCCGACCAACAGGGTCCGTAGCACTGCGCTTCCGTGGCACGGATGTCGATGGAACAGATGTGGGCGTTTCATCCATCTCTACATCCTCATCTCTGATTGGCCCCGCATGTGTCCACATTGGATGTCGGGCCTGCGAAACAGAGACCAAGGTCGCACCAGAAACGCTTGAGATGACAGCGGCCTGATCATCCTGCACAGTTAATGGGCGAACCTTAGGTCTCTGATCAGGTGGAAGCTTCATGATCTGCCGCCAGAGCACTTTGAATACCCCATCCGAAACCAGCTTGACAGAATGTTCCTTGAAAAGCTTGTAATAATTGAACATTTCGTCATCGGGCCACTGGGTGAGACAAGAGCGTGCCTGAAGCAGCTTGGCTGGTAGCTGTCCCCAGGGGAATTTCTTGTCCATAGGGTTAGCACCCATGATAGAAGAGGGCAGCTGTTCGACGAGATGTAACCGAAGCGAGGACCTACACTCATCACGGGTCTTAGGCGTCGGCGGTGGGTGAAATGTTCCTCCTTGAGGCCCTTCAGACACACCATCATGATTCGCTATAAACTCGCGCATCCGTTTGATGAGTATTGTGTTCGAGCCAGAAAGAGATTTAAAGAAGGCTTCGATAGCACGGGAGTTCGTAATTACACCATTTGCGCTGCGCGTCACAGGATGATCTGTTGTGGAGACGACAACAAGCGCCATGTGAATACCATTTGGCCTGGCCCATGCCAAATCTTTAGCAATGCGACTCATATAAAGATTCATATTCTTCGCTTGAACGTGTGGATCAGAGGCCAGCCTCTGGAGGATTCCTTTGTTGCTCTCATTTTGCTGTTCGATGACTCCGCTTGCCCATGCCTTCCAGCCAGGTGAAGTCTTCCCACCAAGGTCTTTCATATGATCATCGTATTCCTTTCGAATATCCGCCTCCGTACACTTTTGTCCTTCCGTAGAAAGGGAATCAGGCGCCTGCCTCTTCAGACAAATGAGACCTCTTTTGTGGAGGCTCTCAAATGCATTCCAGGCATTTCCGGAGTGGCGCCGATGTTTTGTGGTAATCATGCAGTTGGCTGACCGAAGTACGAGATCTGGAGATTTTTTCCACTGCTTCGCATAATCTATCAGCGTACTGATGTGCTGGTTCACCAGTTTCTGAATGATTTCCCGTTGATTCACAGTCAAGGGGCCACCACGCAAGCCAATAATCCGTGACGTGCCTGACTCTGTGTCAACTGGCTCGAGACTGTCCTCATCGGTGTCCATTGCGGTGAGACCCGCCAAGTCGGAGGCAACGGTATCACCTAGTTCATCCGCATTTGCACCTGGCACCTCCTCCCGAATGAAAAGGAGCTCTGCTCCTTGCTGATCAGCCAATGGAACATCGGAGTCAGCATCGGGAGAGGTTGGGACTCGAGAGGGTGGAGGGGTGGAGGGGATCCTGCGGGATGGGTGGTGATTGATACACTGGATTCACAGTTGGACGGGGCAGCGGGGTTCCTGGTCTGGCATCAACGTGACTAGATGAATTCCCTTGCGCGGAAGAGGTATGTTCACCATGCTCCCGTGGTCGTGGTCGAGGGACTGTGAAGGGCAGATCTGATTGGCTGAGACCTGAGTCGTCATTTGAGTCTGGAGCTAACAAGGAACTACGGGTTCCTTCTGGAACTACGTCCAACAAGCCTCGCCGC